GGGTTGTAGTCTCGCGTATATTTTGTTACATACAGTAGTACACACCACCGTACACACCACAGGTGGATTTACCTCCTATGGTGGGCTTGGCCCCATCTCGCACAAAAGGATCGGCACCCGGCTGACACGTGAAACATAAACCGAAAAGGTGTGTGTGGACTGGCGCCAGATAAATGATGGGGACGAAGTCTACTGTACACAGGAACGCTCTCCCCCCATGGATAACGCCATCTCCTGATTCGAAAACAAACATGCATGTAGTGAACCCCCGCCCGACACACACCTGCCCGTGGTTGCTACTGCCGTACCAGCCGTGATCCCCCTCTGCTACCTTGACTCCGCTTGTCCGGTTGTCTGTTGTTGAGCAGTCTCTACTGCTGCTGCAGCACGACGAGTGCTGAGGTGTTTTCATGTCGTCTTTCATGCAGGACACAAGAGATCCTGAGGAAGAGCTGGGGCTCTTGGAGCTGCTTGGCGAGGGGTACGTGCAAAGCGTGCTCGACAAAAAAAAACTGTCCTACAGTATTAGCCTACTCTGTCGATACGTAACCCGAAATGTCAACGGAAACTGCTGTATGCATAGGTATGCACACACACCCAATATGAAGCTAACGGTGTGTATGTTCGGAACAACGGCCTAACTGAAGCTGAAGATGAAGACAATGGTATGGTAATCGTAGTATCTATCCGTGTGCTGCAAGCTCTAAATAAGTGGTGGTATGTGAATTGCCACGACAGCAACATCAGTGGGCACTCTGCAGTAGTGTACCCAGGCTGCGGTGTGTACCTAAGAAGCAAGTTGATACGCTGTCTGTCTGCTGTAAGCTATTTCACCCCGTAGGACAGGCTAGTTTACTGTACTGCTGTCGCTCTCGTTGACTGCCTACTGGTATCAGCAGTCGGATGTCATGCACCTCGTGAATATAAACTGCTGAACAATGGCGCTAAATACTTGCAAGTAAATCGTAACACTCCACTTACCGCTCGTGTGACAGAGGATTGAGCACCGCAGACCACACTTGCACACCCTGAAGACTACCATGGTAGATATGCATACTGTATATTTACATATTTGCCTGATTAGTGGTATCGCTAAATGCAGCCCGCCAGTCTATTTAGATGCAGTGACGGGTGGGTGCGCACGGCTTGGATCGAGGTTTCTCTCTTGTTGGCGCCAACCTTTCACTCCCCTCGTCCGTCGCTCCTGGGTCTACGTTGAGAGCATTGCGGTTGAACGTTGGATGTTGCTGAGGTACGGCAGTCGCTGCATGTCTGTCTGTGTCTTGACCCTTCGATTTCGGTTGGCTTCTACTCTGTGATGCTTGATCGGAGCTCTTTAGCGAGAGAGGCAAACCGCAGGTAGGCACAGTAGAGACTGCGATCGATCGTAATACCGGTAGGTTGCATAAGATACCACACCCGTATGATAACATTATTGGGGGCACCAGTAATCACACGGGTGGTATTCTGTAGGGGTTGTGATGCCTTATGTCACCCGTGTGAAAAAAGCGCACTCACAGAACCCCACCTACAGGGGTGTCATATCAAGCAGTGTGCTCAAAGCAGGAACCCACCTACAAAGGCGTGATGAAAAGGGTGTAAGAAAGGTGTGATAGCTAGGGTGGCACATGCCACTTCATCTCGTGCTCTCCCACGTGCATTTTCGCGGCATCCTTTGGAATGCTTCACATAAACAGCGAACGTGTAGTACCGATACCTCGTAGCGGTTGTGCCTGTGTTGTATGCGACAAAACGACGGCACACCAGTACATACCTGGACGACGCGACGACTCGCAAGACTTAAGTTCACCATTCAAGTTTACAGAAGCCGAAGCCGAAATCAAACCATTAGACTAGTCAGCGCTGACTAGTCTAATGGTTTGATTTCGGCTTCTATTAAAGCTACATAGTCATGGGGAACTATGTACGACGCAAGCAAGTGCCAGCAACATATCAACCAAAGCTAGAAACAACAACCAATGAGGCTCTGCCCACCAGGGCATGTTGGTGCACGATGGTTCTCCGCAGCGCGGTGCTCAGCAGAGCCGCGTTCAGGGTGTTGGTGGTTCGCGGGAGAGCTGCCTTTTCGGGTGCGGGCGTGGGTGCTGCGGGAGTCAATAGGTCCTGCTTCACAGGTTTCAATCGGCACCCGCGGTGGCAGGCGCAGCTGGTGCTGTGGGAGCCTCCGCAGCAGTAGATTCTGTTGTGCAGGCCTCAGCAGTACGTACGGTGTCATGTGCGACTGCTGAGGGAGTCGTCTCATCAGGAGCCCTACGTTACCCTGCGGCGGGTTGAAAAAATGACGCTTTGAAACGTGGAGCCGCCGCTGGAGTCTCACCCACTGCACTCTGAGCCGCGGGGCTTTCAGCAGGGTTGCTAACTGCACCCCCTCCACGGCATCGTCTGCCTGCATGACTTTTGCGATCAGGTTGTGTGCTTGTGATCTCGTGTTCTCACGTTGTCACACCGTGTGATAAGCGGGGGCTCCGTCGATAATATTTGGCTCAACTTTAGGGTGTGTGGTACATTATGTCACCGTGAGATAAAGTGATGTTTTTTTCGGGATTAAAAAAATATAGCACACGGGTAGTATTGTGTACGTTCTCGGGGTGTGTGGTATCTATTGTAAGTGTAATATCGTAGGCAACCTACCGCAGTGGAATGAAAACAAACGCAAGAGCACAAGAGACACACAACACCAGTCGGAAGACGTGGCGAAAAACAGAAATCGTCGATTCTTGCACAGGGCGGCAGTAGAGGCTGCTCAAAACGTACACTTCACGCGTCTACCTCCGCACGCCTCCTTTGAAATGATGATAACAATCCACACTAATCTAAATTCATGTCAAAAGTACATAAAAGGCAGGCGCTCAAATATGGTTTGTGTTGCCAGGAACCTGGTGCATAGTACTTTAATCACTAGAGGACATCCTATAGCAGAGGGGGGTGCGTGTTTGCGCGCTCAAATCTGCTTCTGTGGTGGTAATATCGAGGGTTGTAGTAGTGGCCTACAATCTCCGCAATCTCCGCAAATTTGACCGACACCCAGTGTCTTGTACTGCTTGTGCTCGCCGCCACTGACCCCAATCTATTGAACTGCGGGTTTACAGCAGTAGCTGATGACACGAGCTACTGCCGACAACCCTCCGTTCAGGGGTTTACAGTTCGTGGCGGTGAGCACGGCTGTGACAAATGTTGGATGCCGCTTGGTTTCGGCGCAGATTTCGGACTGTTTTCAGAGGCTGCTGCGGCCTTCGATATTTCAGCTCCAGTAGCAAACCTGAACGTGCCAGCACGCACGACGCCTCTTGATGGTGTCCTCTAATGAAATTTTGTACTAATTACCAGGTTCCCCGCGGGAAGGTTGTTTTCTTTCTTTATGTTGGATTAAAGTATGAGAAAAGAGCCAGCGTCAAAACCGCTATTCTGCCATTCCGTAGTGGATTTGTGGCCTGAAAGTAATCCTCGAACCCATTCAATCTTGTGGGAAATGGCAGGCTAGTACAGTAGTATTGAATCGATATCTCGAACGATATGCGATATACCAACTTCGCAGGGTCATATCCCATGATATGCGACACTTGACGCATTGAGTTTTCGTGTACCAGTTCCATACGGCGTATGCGGGCAGCGACACAAGATCCCCGGATCAGAAATAGATGTCACTACAACGTATGCAATTAGGCCATTTGTTACGGTGTATTTTTTATTAGATATTTTTTCCCCCAAAAGAGACTACCCAAAAAATGATTTACAAAAAAGATTACCCCCCTCTTGCGGTGCTGGTCCATCGTTTTTTCTATCCGAGTCATCGACCGAAAAAAAGAGACCCTGCAACGGCCATTCGTCACACATACATACACCTTCCACCGCTATGGTGTTTCGGTGATCTCCGCATACATTGAAGCAACAGCGATGACAAAGGCATCCGCCATGAGCTGTGTGTATGGTCCGTCTCGGGTGGTGGCTGTTAGAGACCACAGGGCGATTGGAGGCACGGAAACTGAGGTGGCGAGGGTCAAGAGCACGCCGAAAAAATACCCACCGCGCCAGCAAACAGTTTTAATTGCTCTTTGGCCTGTATCGCAACTTTGGTTCATCGATGCTCCCTCGCCACCCACTCCAGCACCAGCGATGACAAAGGTATCCGCCATGAGCTGTGTGTATGGTCCGCTTTGTATGGTGGTTGATACAGACCAGGAGGCTGAAGGGCGCTCAAAAATTGTGAGCGCAAGAGTCGTGAACAAACGGGAAAAATGACTCGCCTCGTCTCCAAGCATTTTTTTTTTGCTCTTTCGCCCGTGTCGCAACTTTGGTTCATCGATGCTCCCTTGCCACCCACTCCAGCAACAGCGATGACAAAGGTATCCGCCATGAGCTGCGCGTATGGTCCGTCTTGTGTGGTGGTTGACACAGATCAGGAGGCTATAGGGCGCCCAAAAGTTGGGTTCGCAAAAGTTGACAGCACACCAACAAAGACCCCCCGCTGCTTCGTCCAGACTCTCTCGGCTCGTTTGCCGCTTGTTTGCGCCGCACACATCGGGTTGTCCACTTAGTCCAGCCGAATGAAAAACAACGCTACCGCTGATGCTACTGACTCTGCACCAGTTACATGACACAGCTCGTGTGAACACCGTTAGGGTTTGCGGGGATCAACCGTCGAGAGATTCAAGTTTGTAGGTAGCGTCATGTGGTTGTAACCAAAAAAAGACCACAGAAAAAGACAGCCCCGACTTATCCAAAACTGCCCCAGAAAAAGACAGGATGGGCTGTCCAAAACGGGTTGTTGTTTTTTTGTTGGTCTGTTGGTCTTTTTTCCCTGAAAAAAGACACCGTAAGAAGGGGTTCTGTGGCCAGTTGTATTTTATTGAGAAGGAGAAAAGAAAAAGACACCTCCAAAAAAGAACCGTAAGAAATGGCCTAAGGTGAACCTCTTAACCCTTTTTCGCCCTTGCAGATCATATGGAGCCGTGTACCGAGCCGAGCGACGAACGGATGACATGGAGGTAGCTGTTAAGATCATCCCTGCAGATAATCCTGCCGACTTGCTGAAAGAGGTGGATATCATGTTGGCGTGCACAAGCCCGTACATCGTACGTCTGCACGACTGCTTCTATAAGGTCAGTTAAGCACGACGGTCGGTATGCACCAATTGCCGGAATGGCGGCATTATTGTGTGTACGATGCTGCTGCACACCTGTAGGTACACACCTAGTACGTCTTCTGTGTGGAGCGACAAAGCACGGCATTCGACGAGGTACAGCAGATTCGGTCACTACGGATGGAACGTGAGCCGTCAGCGTCAACGAAGACGGCATCTGCACATGGCCCTTTTGAGCCTCGCAACCTCCATGTAGTTTCGTTGTAGTGGCAAAATTACAAACTTTCAACGACACCCACGCCGTCACATGTTGTGGCAAGACCAGCAGGGTGCGGGCGTCAGCTGCTGTTGCATCACCGTTCTTGGTAGTTCGGAGCTTGTCCTAGTCTCATCACCTGATGTTGATGTAATTCACGATATCTTCAGGACAACGAAGCGTGGTTGGTCATGGACTTTGTGGGCGGAGGGAGCGTGTGCGACATTCTCGAGGCGTGCCAAGTAACGCTGTCAGAGGAAGAGGCAAGAGAGTGCACCGCGTGGACCGTGCTTGCTCTGGACTACTTGCATAGCAACAGGAAGTTGCACCGGGTGAGAATAGTTTTCAAGTGACAAACAACACTTTACAAGTCGCACACAAATAGAGCAAAGGCGAGTGCTCGGCTTTGACAAGAGCTGCTGTCGCACGCATTGATAGCAATTTCAGGGCTGTCCTCGTTAATTTCTCCGCGGTAATTTTACCGCAGTAAAATCACGGTAATTACCGTTTCCCGTGATGCCGTGAAAAATGAGAATTACCGTTCCCATCCAAATCGTTTCCGTGATAAATTGGTTTTACCGTTAACGCCCAAACCGTTAACGAACAAATTGAAGTGCCCCATTACCGCACAAAAATTTACCGCACAAAAATCGGAATTCCCGTGCTTTCGAGTTACGGCGGAGGACGTTACCGTAAGAACAACATAATCCCCATCTACAGCAGAAACACCAGTTGCTTTACTGTCCACCACAGAAAAATGTTCTGTGCCCCTCTAGACCTGACGGGTTCGACGCCCGCTTCACCCCTTTTTCTCCCACTTTCCATGTCTTCCCTTTGTTTCTTCATTTTATATTATATATTATATGCGAGCCATGTTTTATTTTTTGGCCGTTCACAGAACGCTCCTTTTTCGTGGTGATATTTTTTGTTGAACCGATGAACAACAATCCACCGTTTCTCTGTGGATGAGGACGGCGGCGCTTGCTTGTTGGGTGTTGTCCTGTTGATGGCATATGACTTGACGCAGCGATGGACTTTCACGTCGTCTTGAGGCCACGAGAGCCTGCCTGTGCAATGAAGTGGATACATGCTGTCTGGCTTTCACCCTTCTTTTTATGCGACCGGTTTGGTTGACGGACGTGATGCTCGGTGAATGTGCCGCGCACGTTTGGTGTGCGGTGACCACACCCTTAAGGAACAATTGAAAGCAAGCAAACGAAACAGGGCCCGACGTGTGGTTAACTGGTCAACTTATACCGTGGTGACCAGTTACTGTAGAAAAATGCACATTTCTGTGCATTACCGTGGTGGCCGGTTGCCGTACAAAAAGTTACCGTGGTGACGAGTTACCGTACGGAATTACCGTGGTGGCCAGTTACCGCATGGAACATGCCGTGGTGGCCAGTTACCGCCCAAACATTACTGTATTGTACCGCGGGAAATGATTCCGACATGAAAAACCGTTGACGAGGACAGCCCTGGTAATTTTCACTTCTGTGTTCATAGCGTGTTTACAATAACGAAGGTGTGTACAACTAGAGGGCGAGGGCGAATGACGCCGTCAGCCGGGGCACAGCTCTGAAGAGATCCCTTGCCCCTTCTCTTCGTGTGTAGTTTTTTCGACGGCACAACGATCCGATCTTGCCGACTGGTACATTTCGTCATTGGGTGTGCCGTGGTAACACATTTCTGTATTTTTTGGTGCAGAATCTACAAGTGTTTTTTTTTTTTTCGGTGCTTGGCATTTGATATCACGTCGACATCAGGCTTGATAAACAAACAATATTCGCTGCAAGTACGTGCCAGTTTCAGGCTTGCATATGATCGGTACACTGACTTGTGGTGTATGTGTTGGCGGTCAATTTGCTGATACATGTAGAGAGGCGGCATCGGAGATTGTGCGCTCGCTGCAAGCCCATTGCCACATGCGGTGATTGCGTGCTTTTCTATGTTCTGGCGCGGTGCGTGTTGTTGTGCTGCTGCTATGCCCACAGATCGGGTGCTAAGTATTGAGTGCTTGGTGGCGTAGCGTGTATTTTATGAAAACAACGGCGACCCTCCTGAAGATTCCTACCAAATACCAGTTCCTACCAGTCCTACGAGGAGCATTTTGACATCTATCAAATCCTGGGAAAGCCTTCATGACTCAAGGTCAAATGTTGTTGCTTTTTTGTTGACGTCGCCGTCGTTCCATTTGTGAAACTTCGCTTACAAAGATCTAACCAGCTACCCGACGGTTGCCTCCTGAGGAGCTCCGATCTGGGGCCACGGGGGAAAATGTATCTGCGGTACAGCCTTCAATCGTTTCCGCGATGATGGATCGGCCGTCAATACCCTCACACGTACCGTAGGTGTCACAGTGTATCATACCCCTTGGAGTTGTTTTCAAAGCTCGAATATTCCACGACAGAAAGAGTGGCGACGTCGAAAACGGCGGCGATAGAAATGTCGTGTTCAGAGCTTTCCGAGAACGTATCGCTTGATGTATTCGCCCTCTTGGTCGTGAAGCGATCGAGCTTTGAAAATCGGTCCAGGGTGTGTGATATCTTATGTCTATGTCACCTATGGTACTCACGAACAAGCACTTTCCACTACTTGGTACGTATTGTGGAATAGGCATACCTCGCCGCTAGCCGCTAGATACGCTTGAGGTTGCCACTTAGACCAACGGGGCGACCGGCTACATGCAACAACCAATGTCTATAAAACTTAACTCCTATATGGACATTTTCTGGGGCTGATGCGTGTTGACTTCGTTCCGGTGGTTTTTTATCACCAAGCAGATTATCAAAGCCGAAAAATCGTCACAGCCAACATGATAATGTGCTTCGTGTAACGCACCCTTTTTGTTCGTTTTCACAGGATGTGAAGGCCGGCAACATCCTTCTGACGCTTGACGGCCGAGCAAAGCTGGCGGATTTTGGCGTTTCGAAAGAGGTACGTTACTTCAACGTTGCGAGACCAAGCTGCTCACTGTAGTGAAAGGAAAGGTTGGGTATGACCAGAGTGTTCCGACGGACATGTGAGAGTTCATTCGTCTACTAGTATTGTCTAGTTTGTGCTGAAATCTTCACCTCGGGGTAGCCGAGAATGTTGGTCGTATCGGTGCCGACTTTGTGGAAGGCGGTGTGACGTTCGCGTTGATGTTGAGCTATGGAGCCACTGGTCGTACTGTTGGTGTGCAACGACGTCGATTTTGAGAGTCCTTGATGGGTTGAATCCAACATTTTAGCTGTGAATATTCCGTTCCACCCTCTCCTGATTTCGTCCTTTCGTCTCTACAAGGTTAACACGATGGCGAATAAAGCCCAGACAGTTATTGGCACTCCTTATTGGATGGCGCCAGAAGTAATTCAGGAGGTGAGGTTCTCACTTGTCTTCGGATACACTTTTCGGGTTGCTCAAAGTCTTTCGGTGGCAATGTCTGTTTGTAGTGGACGAGACGCAATTCTTATCTTGCGAGCAGCCAAGTGGCACGTTTACTTTACTTCTGTAGGGGTTGTTTTTCTGGCGTTCAAGGTAGGCAGTGACACGCCACGCTACATGCTTCAGCACGGCCCCGCTTTCGGATGCTCGATACTCGTATGTACAGTACGCAAGGCGGAGCCTGGGCGTGCTTTGTGACGTCGGGAGGACTGCTTGTGGGACAACGGCTCTCACTTTTTCCCTCGTGTCGTGCTGCCTCATGTCAGGTTCCGTATAATGGCCAAGCAGATATTTGGTCTCTGGCAATTACCTGCATTGAGATGGTGGAGGGTAACCCGCCTCTGCACAACGTGCACCCAATGCGGGCCATCTTTATGATACCGTCCAAACCAAGTCCGACGTTGTCCGAACCCGCTAAATGGTCGCTGGTGAGGACTTGCTTTGTCCATGGGGTGGCTCGGCCTTGCGGTTGCTCGATGTCCTGTCAGCGTTTATTTATTGGGGAATTACAAAATCTCTTTTGCCCCATGCTTTTTTCCATCCAAGTTCTCCTTTCGATCACTCTCCGTGTCAAAGCTAATTTTCAGCACTCCGTTGCACTCCTTGATGCGGTTTGGCAGGAGTTCAACGACTTTGTCGGCAGGTGCTTGGAGAAGAAGCCGGATGACCGCCCTTCGTCAAGAGCTATTTTACGGGTCGGTTGATGGCGTGTGATAGTGTGTTCCTGCCATACCGACGCTTGCCAGAATTGTTTGTCGATAAGAAGCATATTCAGCAAGATATCATTGGCTGCCGCCATTTGAAGTGTCTGGATGGAAAGCATGTTGGGAAGTTCATAGCCCAGTTGGAAATCCTGCGCGTCATGCTCTTCATCAAGTGCATCTACCCCTGGGCGCTGTCTCGACTTCCCTGTGGTCGTTTTGAGACATAGAAATTTGAACGCTCGCGGGCAACCCCACAAATATTGTGCGTCCTTGCTTAGGGTATGAACTCCCGTCTCATGTTCATCGATACCCGCAGCATCCCTGGATTGCAACGAGCGTGGAAGCTATCCAAAGTCGCGATGGAGAGGGAGGGTCCGCTGTCATCCAGGACTTGGTCGCCGAACATTTGCCTGTGTTGACAAGGTTTCGAGAGGTGCGCGTCCTATAACGGTTATTGTAAGTGAGAATGCTGGATAGGATAAGTGCCGGTCGTACGTTGCATGGGAACAACACGCGCATGCCGCCGAGCACGGACGCGATAAGGCCACACATATGCATATAAACGTATGACACGTTCGCCTCTTCCGTGCACAGGAAGCTAGTGATGCCAAGGCCAACATGGCAGGTCAAGAGAGCAGCGAAGATGGCAGTGGTAGCAAGACGGCTACATTGCGACGAATGAGGTGATCGTTCAGGTGGTCGTGTTATTTGTTGTATTCGTATGGGTTGCGCCTTCGTGAAGGACGAAAGATAGACCTGTTTGGCAATCTACCTCTGTGCGGTCTCGGCTTTAATCATGTAATAGTGGCTCGATCTGTTGTGTGGTGCCACATTTGTGCCAGGCGTGACTTTTCCTTTCGAGGCCTTTGTTTACTTGAAGGCAAGCTAGTTGCCGCGGTTGCGCTGCTGTGCTTACAGATTTCTGTCGCGTCTGCGTTTTCCCAACATGTAGGTGTTAAAAAGCGCAAACGCTGGGACCATCACACCCTACCTATTTAGTTGTGTTTTAATGAGCCACCCTTCCCTGTTTACAGCAGTAGCACAAGAGGTGGGGATGTCTTCCGAGCAAACGGGTCACCTGATGCAAGGGTTCCTGGTTCTCATCGTGACGGAGCGGATGCAGATGGTGGGATGCCGGAGCAAGGAGATGGATGTGACGGTGCGACCCTTTGTTTGGCGCGGAGATTCTCACGTTGAAGCAAAAAGTAGTATCGGAGGCGATAAAAGGTACCACCATCTTCGTAAAACTGTCAGACCGCGGAACGAGGCACCGACGGGTTGGCCACCGGTTGAATCAACGTTGTTTTCGCAAACCGTGGCACGTTGTTGTGAGCCCGCGCAATGTCGAGGTATTGATTATTTATCAATCCCACGATACTGCCGGAAGGCAAGACTAAATACATGTCAGCGTTGGCGGCTCTTATTTTCTGTGTTCTCTACACCATCGCATAGAAACTGTACCCTGACAGCTTTAGCGGTTGGTTGTGATTCCCCAGAAGAGGACTCTGGAGGTGACGAGTGCAGTTCAGACGGCAGCGTCATCAGGGTTCCGATTGGCGGCGGCGAGGAGGCAGAGGAGGGGGAGGAGGATGGCTACAGCTCTAGTGGGAGTGTGATCGGAGTTGATGCGAACGAGGATGATGGTGGCGTTCTCAAGACGGCTGGTGGTAGCAATGTTGACGAAGATGATGGCTTCAGCTCAGATGGTAGCGTGATCAGGGTGCCTGCAAGCAAGGCGGGATTTGGCGGTGATCGGTCTGGACAGCGGCCGAAGGATGAGTCACCACCAGAGGACGATCCTGCGGCTGATGGAGGTTGTGTGAGGAGAGGGTGGGAGGGCCAGGGCCACGATGGAAACGTCGTCGAGCCAAGGAGTTCGAGCCAGACGCCAGCCCATATGAAGATGAATCTTCTAGCGGCCAGTAAATACTTTGGCAAAAAGGGTGGAGCATCGGACGGTGGTCCTGCTGCTGCAGCGCGTGCTTCGCAGCAGGCAGATGATAACCCGCAGGTACTTAACTCTGATTTATGTTCGGTTCAAGTTCAATCGTGTACGGCAGGTAGCATACCTTAAACCACTGAACCAGTGCCTGTTCTGCATGGTACACTTGTAGACACACTGGAGCAAGCCCAAAACTCGACCCCGAACAACCCTGGTTACTTCCCGTCCCCTTCCCCCGTTTCATAGGCCAAGGCTTTGATGGACGAGTTAGAACGGCTTGATGTCACATTCGCGAACGACCTCTCCCGGCTAAAAGATACTTACGACCGTGCAAGGGCCAGCCTCCAAGCGAAACTTCGGCATTTATTGGACAGCAGTAATGCTGCCGTAGGATAGGCCACCCGCGCGCGCTCAACTAGGTTTGCAGTTATAGTCGTCTCCGCCCACACCCTTGACTACTCAGAGATAGAGAGAGAGAGATAGAGAGAGAGAGAGAGAGAGAGAGAGAGAGAGAGAGAGAGAGAGAGAGAGAGAGAGAGCAATTGCGGTCGGTCGTCGTTCAGATTTAATTTTTGTGAACTGTGGCGCGTATGGAGATTGTTCGACTGGCTCAGTTGCTGTGCTGAGAAGTTGGGAAGAAGCCCTCTTATTCCTTTTTCTTCCAACGCGTAAGCGGGTTTGGCGGTGTCGGCAATCCAAGCAAAAACGTGCCAGCTCGAACATCACTACATACTACGTCCCACGCAGAAATTTTTAGCTGGAGCGGTCACCGCCGTGCATATGCTACCAACAATAAAGATGACTGCTGGTGTGGCAGGGTATCCAGCACCTTCGTATCAACACCTCTCGCAGCCGACTTGCGAGATTCTTCAACTTGCCACGAAATACTGTAGTTTGCCGGTGCGTATTTGTGGCGTAGCACATTGCCCCGGGGGTGTCGCGAGCGGATACAAATTGTCCCCGGGGGGAAGCGAGTACGGCGTGATGTGATAATGTTGGGGATGGCACCTCTAGCAACAGTTCGACACGATGCCTGACCGAGGAGCTACACAATACCGGTCACACACAAATGCGGCGAGGAAAAATAGTTCGGGATGTTGCAAGAACATTTTGTGCGCATACATCAATTTTCTCGGCGTAGACCCGAAAATTGCCATGGAACCATAGGAACTGCTGTTCTCCCTCCCAAATGTGTATGTGCGGTGGACGGTGACCTGATAAATAAAATAAAGCAAGCCACAATCGATCAATGAAGATGGGTCGTACCGAGGGTCTAAAAACCGGCGCCAGAATAGATAGATAGACGAACACACACACCAAGGGTCTACACGTGAAAAAATCCCGGACACATATTCCCCCTCCCCCCCCGCGCCCCCCGGGAGAGCAATGTCGATTTCTGTTTTATGTAGGAATTAGTATCGGGGGCGGCGTTCACGAAATATGTCGTTGACACCCCTACTACTGGAGAGGGGTTTCTACCCACGGTGGGTGGTGGTGCCCTTCATGAAAATAAAAATGCTGAAACTAGAGCCCCCCCCACGGACCCCGATTTTCGATTCGTATGATAGGCCTAAAATAGGCTCAAATGATGACGAAAAATAAAAAAAAGAGCTAAAGAAACACAGCTTGGCCACAACATGCTGTGATTTCTAAAAAACGGATCGTCCTGCGTGCAGTCTACTTCTCAATATCTTCTACGCCCTCTGCAGTGCAAGGACGAGTTCTTCATCGCTACTTTTCCTTGGATTTGGTCCACGGATGGTGGAATGGAGTCACGTCCAGATCAAACATCCAGGCCATTCGATCGCCATCTCTCGTATGGCGTGTCTAGCCGACATCGGCGGCGTTGTGTTGTGTGTGCTGTATGCAATAATTTAGCACACACATATCCGACACATACCCACCGTGGATTCACGGTGCCCCTACAGGATTCCAACGCACCGTCGGCCACCGACCAGCCTTCCCGCTACATGCACTGGCTGATTGGGGTGCTCCACATCTCTCTCTTCGCGACCAGGAGGTGAGGCATGAAGAACAACAGGTTCTCTATGGTGTTGAGCCATTCGGCTGCCCATGCTGTCCTTTTTCAATTTGCCTCGAGAATAAACGGCGAAGCAAAGACACGTACGCATACCTGCTGTCTCTCACCGGTGTTATCATGCGCACGTCGTCGTCTCTGTATGCCATATCACATGTCACACAGGTCCCCTGTCTCATCCTCCGTGTTTATCGGGCTCTCTCCAACATGAGGAACATCCTTTGGCTACTCGGAGTTGCTGCCTTGTCCAGCACGGGCGAAGCCTTCGTCGGTGTGCCAGTTCGGGCCACGGCGTTGGTAGCAGGCGGCCGGGCATCACAGCAGGAGAGCTGCTGCACTTCGTTGGTGAGAGAGACCGCCACATGTCTGGCATTTGAAGATTGTCAATCGATATTTTACCCGAAAATTGCGAGGTAGCCAGTTCAACGCCAGCGAAAAACATGGTTTGCTGTGATTCCGACCTGCATTCGATCTATAATTTATCTGTACAAGTTCATACCAAAAGGCATTTTGACTATTACTATAAACATAGACTTCATGTACATCGACCTCCCAAATACCGAACAGAAGCTGCCTGCCGGGCTACTTGTGTACGTATAGCGGAGGTACAGCAGCAGTCGACAGCCATTAATGGGTCTCTTGGTGGTTTGGTGCTTTTGGCAGGCTGCACAAGGTTGTGTGGCGCTCAGGGGGCGCATACTTCCAAACCTATGCGTGCACCACGCAGAAAATTACATTCTTGTCCATCTACACAACAAACGCTTTAGACTACGTGCCCCCCGCCACGAAGTTACAGGAGTTTCCACCGGGCATGGCCACCAGGGCAGAGCAACGAGCTATGCACTTCGCACCATGGATCCAGTCCACTCTCAATACCCCCATTACCAAGATATTTTCAATAGAGTAGAGAATGATCAGGTACTAAACGCTGGGAGATGCCAAAAGACGCTCAGCTCCATGCCCGGGCAAGTGCCCCCTCGAGACTGAGTTGATCTCCGCATGTGTTCCGAGTCTCCCAAGTACAAATCCATAGACATTTGCAACCGCTAACGTACACTGTTAATTGTTGGGCGTATGGGACAACCGCCATGGCAGACTATCATTCTCGTCCCCAACCTACTCGTGGTAACTGGCATGAACGTAGCGTGCACACACGCGATGATGGTCAGCCTTCGACATGTCGTCTTCTCTCTTCTCGTGCCCGCATCAAGCAAACAACATACGGTACTTCGTACAGTTCCAGAGAAGGCCTGCACTTGGTGGAAACGTATCAGAGAGGCAACATCGTTGGGTGCATGCGTGCGTGTACCATGCTTACCACTTTTGAAAGAAGCGCTGTGAATAGACGCTGTGCCTGTTCGGAAAGCGCAACTTGCACGGGATAAAAGCGAGTGAAAATGGAAGGGACATACAGTTTTGTCCCCAAATACGTTTGCAGCCCTGAGTGCTGCGAAGAAGCAAAGCAATCGCCAGATTGTGGTTCGCTTGTCGCTTAACTAAATGTACGAATCAAGCGCTGCTCCACAAAACATGCGCCCGAAAGTGCATGTGCGCAGGATGTCTTGTTGCGTGTCATGTGCAGAACAGCAGGAACACTGGCTCGGGAACCACTCCTGCGGCCGTGTGAGAGAACCACCAAACAATAGCTTCTGCGTAGGGCGGCCATGTTTCTTGGAATCGTGGCTGTCCGTACAGCAAAATCCGCGACCAAAATTTGCCGATCGTGTTGTCGGCTGACCTGTGATATTATTTTAAAGGAACAAGATGGGCGCAATGTACACTACTGCGTTACGCACATCATACTTCGTGTTCTGGATGGAGGCTTACCAACGGAGCCAGTAGGTCTTGGTTCAAACCTGCTACTTGACCGAAATAAAACTCATGGGCAATGACCGCGAGAGTAGTTTAACCCCTTTGGGTCTAGGCTGGACTGTCAGATTTTTTTTTGCGCCAAAAAAAAAAAATGAGAGCGAGAGCGAGCGGGAGAGAGAGAAGTGCAGAGAAAGACACCAGTGTACTTCTGCACACGCAACAACTATCTCCCCCTGTAGGCCATGAGAGAAGCCGGCGACAGGGTGGTGGCCACAGACAGGGTCGTAGAAGGGTTGGTGGGTGGTCGCGCTGCGGTCAGTAGGGCAGGTTAGCTGTGTAGCTTTGAAATGATCAGTCGTCTAGCTGCCTCAACTAGTCTATTTTCGGTATATTGTAAATGATCAGTCCAGAGAGGGCAAAATGATCAGTGAAGACCCATAGCTGGTATTTGTATCTGTACTTCTCTGTTCTCTGCCCCCCCCCGAAATGTGCCCTGCCAACTCTCTAGAGCTCCTGTGTTTTTCAAACAACAAGCACATCCACCAGCACGCACCTGTACCTCGTGGTTTCCTAGGTTCGGGCGAGGGTGGTATGTGTGGCGCTACGAGTGTGGATGTGTTGCTGATATGTTTTACTCGTCTACAGCAGTAGTAGTGTTGTTGTAGCGTTCGTTGTAGCTGTTGACACAATGACTGCTGGATCTTCGGAACGATTTTCAAATTGTTGGGAACCACGATATCCTCGATATCTGGGCTTCGGCAGGGACTGCAATACCCCTCCCTTTTGCTGTCCTCTGCTCTTTGCAGCAGTGGCTTCCTACGTTCGGGCGAGTGTATGTGTGGTGCTGCGAAAGAACACATATGTATGTATGTATGTACTGTATGCACACACGCGTTCATTGACATGTGCATACGTTGAGAGATTCATGATTTGGCATCGATTGGCCCCATTCCCATTCCCGAGACCTTGACATTACCCGCTGTCACTGAAGTCTCTTCATTGGTCAGCCGGTTAGCGCGGGTGCTAATAATCTAGACACACCTACCTATGGACTTGCCAATACACGGCGCGAAGGGCTGCAGGGCGGCAACTCCACGACTTGCCACTACACCAGCATTTGCAAATGATCAATCAATGATCAGTGAGAACGCCTGAAGACTCAAAAGGGTTAACGGTTTTCACCAGAGCAAGAGAGGGAGCGAGCGAGTGAGCGAGAGAGAGAGAGAGAGAGAGAGAGAGTACTGTGACCTGTTCGATCAAGATGCTATGTTTTGAGGTCATGGCCGGGGCGTAGAGATGCGTGTGATAGAAATATGCATATGTGGCGTCATTTGGCATGTTCTGTACGTCCCACAGTAGTTTTTTTTATTGTTTTGTTCGAAACAATGTGCGGCTCTACCATTTCCCAAACATGAAGCGTTGGTTTGTACGTTGACACATATTGTGCCGCTTCTTGCTCTGCTAACGAGCGTTTCAGTACCCCCAGTCCCCGGGTGATATGGGCGTGTAGACTCAAGATCGGCTTCTACCATTGAGCATAACCGTAAGAATTACCGAGGGAAGGAGGCAAGCATCGTGCAGGAGAACATCCTGTCCGCAGCCAACCAAAGAACTTTTAGATGAGCCAACTGCTTATTCGAGGTGTCCACGCTGCGACACGCCAGAAAGTATGGCCAGCCCCTATTATGCAATCAGTCGCACGGGATTCCCGTGTTTTTTTTGTGATTTTTGTATGCAGCTTCTGGTTACATATCATGTGCTTCGGTTGTTTCGATCGACGTCTATTGTTTTGAAGTATGCATACTAGCTGTTGCCTGGCCACCAGCTTGCAGGATGCGTGGCTCCGGGTCTGGTGACAAAAACGTGAATATCATATAGAAGTAGGTTGACTCAATGTCGTACATTCGTTGACGGTTCAACCGCAACTGTTGTTGGTGATCCACGTGCCAATTGGAATAGTGACGACGTAACTATGACATCCCTGGACCTTTATGGTGTTGAGTGCGGTGCAGGACAACGACGAGACATGTGAGCCTCAAGCACCGTGCCAAATTTTGTCATAACCAGCAAAGCCGGCAAACCGATCAAGGGGCGAAGGGTAGACAACAGGAGGGTTGTGAAAGGCGATACTCTAGGGACTAAGGTCGTGCCCAGTGGTGTTGACTCCACCGGCTCTCTCTGTGGTGTATTCATTCCAGTATCCACTATTTGATGATGTCCTCGTCTGTCTGTTGGTGCGGTGCTTGGTGTGTCTGTAGTATTCCCCTGCCACCGCTGAGGTCGCTTTTGTTCATGTGTCTCAGTGCTCTGTCTCCCTCTCTCCCTCTCTCTCTCTCTTTGTGTTACGTTGTTCGTTGAATCTCTGAAAGGCAAACTGAAGTGCTTCTGCGAGTACCTTAATTTTGTGTAGGTTATAGCAGAATCAGTTTATGAGACGTCTGTGATCATGGGCACAAGGGATCAGGTCATTGATCGTAAGGGACCCTTACTTTTTCTCGAATTGCAGAAGATATGCATGCACCGGTTCCCATGTGACTTCACAGCCAAGCATTGTGCGGTGACTGCTGTGAAGGATTTTGGTGCACAACACGAGCATTCGAACGAAAACGTTCCAGGAATCTCCTCGGTTGCAAGCATGGGAAAATAAATGTCCCTTACTTCGCCTTACCGGCAGGTTACGCACAACATCCATAGCACGTTTGCGGTCGACCACGATGGCCATGAGATCACCCGGCGGCCGGCAAACATGGCGAGGGTTGCAGCAACTAGCGCACTTCTAGCAAAAAAGAAGGGAAGGGGAGGCGGGAACAACGAAGGGGCGAAGCCGCGGGAACGGAAGGAAAAGGACGATGTCATAGAGGTATGACACAAGATCGTTAGCACACCTAATGCATAACTCCGGCTTCAGTTTCAGGACAATATTTGCCGGAATGGTGTGGTTACAGTTGTCCACGTCTTCGCTATGTAATTGTCTGAAAATGATTGGTAACTATCGGTATGGGACGAGATACCGTGACTTCGTCGAGCACCACCAAAGCACCCGAAACCATGCTGCAGTGATGCTATTTCCGCCGTGCAGCATTATCAGCGCTATGCGGGTGTTGCACACTGTTGATCTGGCGTGGCATGTGTTGATTCCGACAGCCCGATAGTATTTTCACATCACATGCGGAGAAAGATTGTTCAGCGAAGGCTTGTCGGATGCTGGTGTTGCTTTCGCAAAAGGTGGAAGGTGTGGTAAAGGAGGGGCTGCCCAGCGCGATGTTTCGTGTCGAAGTCGGGGCAACGGGAAAGGTGGTCTTGTGCACCATTAGCGGGAGGATACGCAAAAACTTCGTCCGGATTTTGGTTGGAGACCCGGTGAGGGTGGAGCTATCTCCGTACGATCTCACACGCGGCAGGATCACGTTCCGCTACAAGTAAGTTGCCGATTGGACTAATTCGAGTGAATGCTTGATCGGCCAACACCCCCCGTGCGGTAGCGACTTTAACGTTGTTCGGTGCTTTCGAGATCCATAGTGCTGGGGCTGCGGATTTGACTATTGCCCATGCATTTACCGCACATTATTCGATTGCCTTGGCTGCAGTAAAGCATCCGTGCGATCCCTGAAATCTTTCGGGAGGTAGACACACCTTGTTGTTTGCCGACATGGCCGTTGTTGGGCGTGGATTCTCACTCGGCCAACAACCCCCTCTCCCCCCCCTACCCCATCCTTGCTGTTGCACTTCACTCCTGTCGCGTGCTTGTTCATTTTAGGAAATAACAATTTGGCAACGATCGTTGCGCCTCCCCGTTTCGAGCAAACAACACACAAGATGGCTGCCAAGAGTGCAAGCTTGGTGAATCTTTTCAAAGCCTGGGGCAGACTTCTTGAAGCGCGTCGTTGGTGTTCCGGGTTAGAGAGGTTTTCATCAACAACAGAGGATGTTCCTTGTTTGGTTTGGTTTAGACAGTGTCAGGAATGACTCGATTAGCCGGCACGGACAGTAAACTCTCAAGTAGAGCTCCTTGTTTCACCACTCGATTTAACTGCTGTCACTCGATGCACAGCGATGTACGGGGGCACAATTTCTGTAGTGTAGTTGCGAGTGCTCGTGTGTAGTGTAGCACCCGCACTGTTTCTTTTTTGCATCGCCTGCAGAATATAGACGCCCAGTGCTTGTGTGATTGTGGCATGTACGCTATCATCCATCGTTTGCAAGCCCGGCCTGGGTAGCATGCCCCGCACATGGACGCCGCCTACCACGTCTGTCACCGACATGCTTATTTTCGCCGAGACGAATCAACAGCCAGACCCTGCCAAGACAGGGTTGTGAATGCCGTAGTGACCCGCATTTACGTGAATGCGGGGACTGTGACTCGCGTGCACAAGGTCCGCGTAAGAATTAGCCTGAGTCGCGCGTGGAAAGAGAGGCTTGTCGGATCTCCGCGTGCAAAGCAAGCATGTTCGATGTCTCTGGCCATTCAGAATCGATCAACGCACGCCTGGATGGCGCCGAGTACTTAGCACATGAGCGTGAGCATTCACCAAAGATTCAAACGCTTTGCATTGCTGCTCTCGGCGCGTTGGGGAATGCACATCTGCACGTAACGGTATTATTGTGGAAGCGGTGGGTACGCAATGCATATATCTGAACGGCAGCAACATGAGCACCCTTGCCATGCTTATTGCGCCTGCCTACCGTCGTGTATTCTCCTCGGAGCAACAGGCAGTTCGTATGATCACCAGAAAGACGAACTGCGCTAATCGACTGACCAATGAGAGGCGCAGTGCCAGCGGGTTAAATCAAGGTCCCTGCAAAGGGCCAATAATATTCGAAAAGCTCTCACCAATTCTTCTCGTTTTTTCACCCATGTGTTGTGCACATTTCATTATTTTTCAGTCCAGAGAAGAGAGAATCGAGTTTATCCCGTGGTCCTATTAAGACTTAAGTAACCATAAGGAAGATACCACGACGGGGCTGGAGATCATGCGGTCTTCCTCAACCAGCCCGCGATACGGAGCCTCGCCACCATCTACGCAAATATAATGACGATGATGAGTTCTCACAAACACAAAGAAAACGTTCAACATGCATTCATTCGTTGTACTTCAAGTATATATGCAAACTTTCAGCGCGAGTATAGATACAATAATTTTTCCACGCAACAAAGCCGGTGGCCTTTTCGCTTTTACTTCCACTCCTGCTACAATATAGTTTAGACTACTCTGCCCGCCAGGAACGTTTGAAACTCCCTCTCGCCAGGTGTCCGGTTGATGGTGGAGGTGTTGTTGGTCTGGTTTGGACTGCATGTAAAACACCGCCAGCCGTTGATGAGAGCTTTTTTGGGCTGCAAGAGCATGTACACATAGGAAGCTGCCGAGCGACGGCAGATGGGACGCCGAAAATAATTTGGAAATATAAACACACAAACAGAAAGACTACCCATTCGAGATTGTAAGAAGGAGATGAACGCCAGTATCGGGCGGGTATCTGGGTTTATGCAATAAGGCTGTAGCCTAAGATCTTTAGTCTGATAACGGCAGAGTAAATAATCAATCACGTTTTACATATATATTCCACCACCACTATCGAACGACTTCCCGTGGCCAAGTGCCAACAGAAAAGAGAGGTGTTGTGGCACGTGGAGATAATAATGATAAACCGAGGGGGGCCATTTGGCACACGTGGAAGCATCCCTCATATGATGTTGGTGCGTTGTCTCTAGCTGGTTGTCTCGCAGGATCTCAGGCGCACGGCTGTCTCGATTCTCGATAGATCTGAGGTATGATAGGGGGGGTCTGAATCTTGAAAAAGTAAGCATAATCTCACAGAAAGACTACCCGTTCGAGATATTAACCTAGTCGATAGGGATGTGCTGGAGTCTTTACAGCAGTGGGTGGAGGGAAACCGGCTTGAATCGTTGTATCTTTGTGCATAGCTATCATGTGTTTGTCGGGTATACATATTATTGTATCGTGTGTGTGTGTGTGGTGATTTCTCCGGTCGCGGGGGAGAGGGGGGGGGTGGGGTCTATAGAAAAAAAATGCTAAAATTGCGGGGGTAGGGCGGGAGAAAAATCATCTCAGTTCCCCCAGGTGGTGCCAGCAGCGCACGGCGAAACGACGACTCGTACACGAGAGGGGGCGGGTGACCCTTGACAAGACCAATCGGCCAAGTGCATGGTGCTTTAACTTTTCCAGTCGATTGGTCATTGGAGAGGATACAAACGTTCCTACAAGCAGATCGTTCGACAGCTGTTCTGGCGACGCCAGATCGACGGGAGGTAAGCCCTTGGTTCGCCGCTTGGACCATGGCGTCGCGTTTTCGTCCGGCACCCGAATGCAAAGTGTACTCTGCTAATGTTCGGTTGTGGTTTGTGGACATGTGGTTCGCATGGGTGAGTTGAGCCATGGAGCACCCAATGTTTGCTCATGAAATCCAGACGCAGTATTTTTTTATCCATAGACTTCAACATCTTGCCCCTCAAAAGAAACATTTCGACTTTCAAGACTTGCTCCGTAGTCGTTGGCGTTGGTTTCCCGATATCCCGGCGTGTGTGTTGTTGTACCCTTGGATGCGAGCGTGTGCCGGGATGAGTGCTGAGATGAGCGTGCCTTGCAGACCGGGGTTATATCCAAGTGAATGCATTAAGGCATGTGCGCTTTGCGTGTAAATACCGCATCCCCTCATCCTCCTCCCTCTTTCCAAAGGCGCAAATCACACGCAGCTGTTTCCCACATATGCATATGCATACACGATGCGCACACACACAGGCGGTACAAAGCAGGATGTCTTGACGGATGTAGCCATGGTCATATATCCCTTTTTCGCGGCCCACCACCTCTTGGTAACAGGGTGTACTGAGTGTGGTTGGCGACTCTGCGGGTGCCGTGATTGTTCGGGTGTGGCACCTCCCTCAGCTGGACAGCTCCCACCTTCGTTTGTCCACAGTCAAAAGGGTGCGAAGACAGACCAAAGGGTCTAGGGTTTTGCCCCGGCAAGACCTTTCCACTACCCCACCCTTTTCGGCAGTGGTGCCCTCTCGGTTGTGAGGCATTCGAGCGAGGAAGTTCTATCTACGGGGGGTGCGATCACTTGACAATGGCGGTACTCGTCTGGGTATACCCGTCTGGGTATATGATGTTGCCCATTGTTCAATGAATCATTTGATCATGTCGATGACCTGGTTGCATGCGCGACGCAGACGGCTCTCTTACACATGAAGGAAGACATTCGTTGTTTTTTACGAAGTTTTTTCCCACCCACGTAATAATCGCAACCCAACGGCACCTACTCGAACATCGTGGGGGCGGTGAAGGTATATATTGATGATTGTACTTTACAAAGTAGTGCCGCTAGTCTAGAGTCCTTGGCGGCTGGCCCGGCTCTTAGACCGGACACACAACTTACTTACAATTCCAGACCCGATGCCGAATCGACATTTTTTTTTTTTTGAATAAAAAAAATGAGACATGTGATATCCGAAAGCAACATGTGGAACATGTGCGAACTTGAGAGTGTTTCGTGCAGTTGGTGTGGTGAAGGAACTCGCAGCGTGCTGTTGGTTGTATTGCGGGATCTCTAGTGGCGCTCGGTTGTTTGCGCTGATGCATTCGTAGTGCCGCCCGTGGAAGACGCGGGTTGTCTCAACGCATATTTACATGGTCAATTTGTGCCTGTGGATCAGGTTGGTTGATTCGCTGCTTTCGCGTGCATACAATAATGCATTCGTCGTTTGTTATTTTTCGAGTTTTTTGCGTGTCTTGGCAGTCTTTCGTGCACAACCCGTCATCTATGTAGGTTTGACTTGATCTACGCGTGATCACGGTTGAAAATTAAACACTCAATAATAGCTACTGTTGAACTATTTTGTCTGTTGGCGCCTGCATGTCGTGCAACGCTGTCTTGATTCTCATTGTCCACAGATTTTCCGTTCCTTGATCTGGAAATGCATCTCGGAATGTGACAATCCCAAGGTACCTTAGATGGGTCCGGGGAGGAATTTGGCCCGCTTTAGGTGCATACCTGTGTAGTATAATGGGTATGCATACATACATGCATGTATCAGATGTGTTTACTATTTCGGTTCTTTGCCAAACTATTCTGTCAGCCTAGTACTGGTACTACTTTGGCGGGGCGGCGGACATCTCGGAAAAACTTGTAAACAACAGGTTCGGCTCGAAAATCCTAATCGGAAGACAGAAACCCGACCATCCTCCTTCGATCGGACTCGCCACTGATGCATCACATCATCACAACCCTGACGCTTCCCACACTCTTGCTCAAAACACGGGACGGGCGCACTCGCTCCGGATTGTTTGGCGTTGGTTGGTTCCCCAGGGGTGGAACGGCGACCTGCGCCGGTGCGTTGGTGCTCGAAACATGATTTTTTTTTATTTGCGATCTACCTAGTCCTCGGGTAGACCCCTCCAGGCTGTGCAGGGTGTCTCCATCTTCTGGGAAAATGACATGTCGAATGTGGAGTTCCGATTCCGTAAGAAAACGGTCTAAACGTTTGTGTGTCGTTTGCAACAATATTGTCTTTTGAGAGTACTGTGCACAAACACAGGAATGCTGTTTTGGGCGGCGTATGGGCCACCTCCTTTGGGGTCGTTCCACTCAGCTCGTCTCGTGACCAGTTGCACCTATCTCATTTTTTTTGTGGTGGGTGTGGTCGGGTGAGGAAATGTGGGGATGGGCCGCGTAGCGTGTCCGTTGGTTGGCGGCTCTCGCTAAACTCGCCTGCATCTTGTTCCCGATGCACGACGTGTTAATATTTTAAAGCAGGATGGAGAGAGATTTCCAGCCGAATCAAAACCATTCCGCCCTAACAGACTTAGATTGTGCCGACGCTCGCTTCTTTGGATGCTGTCGCGCAGATCACGAATGACAGCAAAGGCAATGCAGGGCACAGGCACCCTACACGCGCAGATGCAGGAAGAGAAGATTGGGCTTCTTCGTAAAGTAGCGCCTGTGCACTCGGGGCCACTGAGAAGGCGCACGCGATTCCTCAAAGCTTTGCATTACTTCGAGATACGCTCGTCCGTGCTACTCCTCTACAAATCACGAAGCAAGCGTGCCAACCCAGGGTTTTTAGAGTCACTGTTTTCCAAGTCGGGAGATGCGGACTCCATCGACTCGGAGATCATCCAGGCTGCGTCAAGCCGGGGGCAGTGGGATGCTGCCTTCGATATGTCTGGCGCGAAAGTGACAGCGCTCTCGGCCGACGAGAAGGGAGGAAATAGTTTCCCCTTCAGAATTTCATTTGAGGGGATATTCGTGCTGAGCGTGAGCGTTATCGATGCATGCGACAAGGATTCGCCACAACGCAGCCTGTACCTGACGGCGGCATCTGCCGAATCGAGGTAGGTCCCTTGGTGTAAAACGGCTTTGTTCAGTAATGCTGTGTGAGCCACGATGGCTGTGGAATTGAAGTATGTCCCTCTCTAGGGTTTCCGGTCGCGAGGGTGAAATACGTCGCGTGGATCCAACTCCAGACCAAACACGTGTTCTCTCGCCGCACGTCCGTATTGTAAGGTTTCCAAGTGTACCCTTTTCGATAGGTTCATCTTGTACTCAGCTGCCGGCAGGCTTGATGGACAAGCTTGCCGTAAACAGTTACTGCAGACGTTAGCCGCGTGTGCGCAGCGGGGCGCCTTGGGTCTTATTGTTGACCTGACCTGCGTTCTGTCTCACACACGAAAACACGCCTCCCTACTGAGGCTTCTCTTCCCGATTGATTCACTGTCCGACTTGGCGCGATGTACGCTACTTCGAGTATTTGCACAAAATGTGGTAGGTCTCCTGATTGCCCCCCGTTAGGGATTCGTGCATACTTGACGCTTTGCATAGTATACCCGGCGTAGACGAGAGTGATGCCGCCAGTCAGCTCGCGAAGAGTCTGCGCTAGTCGTACAATAATGCACGAAAGTGATTTTCTTGTGGTTGGTGCTTATGATGACCCATATCATATCACGCCTACCCCTAAGGTTTAGGTGACCATCGAGAGGTTCGTAGCGTGCGATCGGGGTTGACTTTCGTGTCTTCTGTGTCTCCACAACAATTCCATCGTTCGTGTCCGGTTTAAAATATAATTGCGTGTGAACTGTTTTCTTGTTAAAATCCGTGCTTACTCACGCGCGACGCTCCCACGCATGCATACATGTGATCACCGACCCCTTCTCTCATGTTGCGGGCAAGGTCGGAGTGGCTCCATCACTGCACGCGGGCTGCGAGAAGTCTCTCCAGGGCAGACTTTGAGCCACTCAAGACAGTTGGCAAGGGGCAGTGGGGGAAGGTTTTTCTCGTTCGGAAGACATCCGGGCCAGTGGCAGGACGAGCTGCCGCGGACCCGGGCCTAGTGACCGGGACGGACAACGTAAGTACCGCAATCCCAAGAAAAGTCCGTCACAATGGGTCGGTTTCTTGGGTTCGGACTTCAATTTGTTACGTTTCTAAAGCGTTGAACAAACTACGAAGTCTTGCGATTTCCGATATTATGGTTTCTTGCACATGCGGCGGCAAAAGCGCCGGTTGGACGTCACCTTTTGCGTTTCATGGGGATATGATATATAAGTTTTACTCAAGGATTCATATTATACCTGTATGGATCCCCTTGCCATCTCAACAACATCTACTTGACGCAGCCGATGCATCCCGCTACTCTTTTTTTCTCATTGCTGGGATAGCATTGCCAGCAGCAGACATGTCCGAACCCATGGATGCCAGAACTATGAGCTAATCTATTGTTGTGTAATCCCGCAACCGCTACTGAATTGGAAATCGACGGATGCCTCGCGGCCTCTGACGTTGGCTGCCTGACGTGTATCCTGTGACGGAAACAGCGCAGCGGGGAAAGCGTTACCTTTGCTTGCCCTCTTGGCCTTTGAAGGTTACATGTGTATATATACCATTTCGCCTGTTTTCGTGCTTTTAAGGATATACTTCTAAATGTTTTGCTGGCAGAAACGGGTCTTTTCTCATGCTTCCTTCTCAGGCGCACGCAGGAGGATCGTGGGTACATTTCACCCGTGGCGCTTGTGCTTGACGCCCACAAGTTGAAAAAGCTAGCTCTATACCCCGGGGGCATTTTGCGCGCGAAGAAAGCCTTCGCAAGAACTACAAAAAGGACTGCTTTGCATAAAAGAGGAAAACTTTTGTTTTGATTCCTGCGGGACGCACACAGGTCCCATAGACCATGGGCAACACGAATTACATACGAGCGAGTGATAAATGCAGCGGATACAGCAGCAGAACCTGCAGCAAAGACGTCTCTGGCTTAAAAAGCACACACGCAAACGCGCGAAGAGTCACGGCGAAAAAAAAGTACGCCGCACATGATGCAATTTTTGCAAAATTCCAGGCATATTCTGCAGGTTGTACGCAAAAGCCGGCACTCACTACAATGAACGTCGTGACGATGAGATGCAAGGATGCGACTGCGATGACATTGAACATGTCCTCTTGCGTCGCACCCGGGAGGCAAGTCACCTAACTCTTGAACGGGAGCCTTGTATGTAAAAAAGGGCGTTGTTCGGATTGCAATGTAAACAAACGATCATCCCAGGCACGGAGGGTCTAAAAACAAGCTATTTGGGAGAAGAACGGCCGTACAATGGCTCGATGATTTTTCGATCCCTGTCAAGTTGAACTTAAATAGCACAAACACGATGAGAAATGTGTGTGTACAGAGGTCTTGGTGGTCCTAATGCAATGTTGGGCAGACCGATTTTTTGCACCTTTGCTCTTTGGGTGTTGTTTCCTTGAACGTTGCTTCTCAAACCCGAAATGATCAAGCAATTGGTTTTCTAGAATTTTGTCGGCCACGCGTACTCGTTGCGTTTGCAAGTCATGATCCTGCAGTACACGACGTGGCGCATTGATGCAAAGCACCTCTCTTTGGTAGAGACGAACCTCGACGCTTTCAGCACAACGGTTTCTATTGCGTTGAATCTCACGCACGCCGACCAACTCCTAACTGAAGGGTTGCTGAAACAACTTTTTGTAGACAACTAGATCGACATGTGCAAAATGGCTGATTGAATCCCTCCATGCGTCGATGCTTGCGAAGGTGGAGCTTCTGGCACTGAAGGAGGTCCAGCTCGGATCAAACACCAACATCAACCACGTCCAGAATGAGCGCCTCATTATGCAGGCGGTTCCGCCCCACCAGTTTGTCGTGGGCATGCTGTACGCATTCCGTACGCCCAGGTTGGTGTTGCTTTATGTGGTGTTGGCCATGTTGTGATGTGAAGTGCTAAGCGTGGTGTCGAACCTGTCGCTGCTATGCTATTACATGTGCATATCGATGTCAACCCGTCCGGGCGTGGGCGTGTTTTTCGAGCTATTATCGGTGGAACTGCTGTGCTTGTGCATGGTATGCATATCATATCATAGTACGTTGGTTCCCCTGGGTTTCAAGGTAACTGACCAACGGATGTTCTTTGTTGTGTGGGGGGGACACACTGACGCGGTGAAGTGTTCTTCCAGAGGCAAGCCGGCGATGGTATAGCGATACATGTGTACACTATGCTCGCGCGATGGTAATCCTTGTGGAAGAAAAAGGTCGTTTTTGCCATAATACGTGGCATGCGATACGTCGTATTACTGAGTGTTAGGTTGAACACAGAACTGGCGTTTCTCCTTTTTCCTTCTATTTGTGCTCTAAAATGGTACCTGCTTGTCTTCAATTCGTTTGGTTTCAAGGTTCCTGTACTACGCACTCGACTTCATGAATGGCGGCGATCTGTTCCGCCACTGGAGGAAGCACCGTAACAGACGCACAGAGATGGCCCCCTTTTACGCTTCAGAGGTATGGATCCATCCCAAAAGTATCTATGTAGGTTTGCGTGTGTTGCTATGCCCGTCCTTTCCATGCTATGCCCTCTAGCATGGCAACAATCCACATCGAACATAAGGTGTTTTGGACCGCCATTCACTTCGACGCTTTGACAATATCCTCGATCGACATGTTTTGTGTGGCTTAGGTGCTTCTGGCGCTGGAGCACCTTCACAAGCACTGCGTCATTTACCGGGATCTCAAGCCCGAGAATGTGCTCTTGGACTCGCAGGGTAAGTTGTGTTCCAGCGGCTGGACCACGTCGCATTACTCAACTTGCCATCGATTCGCGTATACGTATACACGCTGTCGCCCCGGTGGTCTAGTTGGTAGCCTCGTAACCTTCTAGAGGTCAGGTCAGGGGTTCGAATCCCGGCGTAGGCGAGCTTTTCTTGCAAAGTGAGTTTTTCTCTCGCTTCCGCTCCTGGCCAAGTGGATAGCGCTAGTTCGTGTGTACACAGAGTGAAGAGAGTGCTGAACTCTTCTCGCAATAAAAATTGAAGGCGAAGTACCGCAGGAGGGGAGGGTAGAGAGAGGCTCTTCTGTGTGACCACAGGTTGGAATAAACGGCACTACTAGTAGTGCTGTGAAAACGGCACTACTAGTAGTGCTGTGAGCGCTGATTTGAAGTGAAGAACAAAAAAAAAAAAAAATACACGCTGTGCCGATAAAGTTGCATTATGTCTGGACGATATATTTGTGGCGGCATATTCATACGCGCAGGACACATTCGGCTGGCTGACCTGGGATTGGCGAAGGTCCTCAAGAGCAAAGTGGATAGAACAAGCAGGTGCGTCCCTGTCGTATGGCTTAGAGTGTTGAGTGTTGCTTTTGTTGGACGCGAGTGACTGCTGTTCGGAATGAAGTGTGAGGCTGCTCTCGCCTATGTTGTAGACTACGGCGAAAACTTGCTAAATGATATCTTGGTAGCAGTGTTGCCCACATGCCTGTGTTATCGCAAGAAGATGCCTACCTGGTCCCGCAATATATACAAAACTTTCGTTTGCGTTGTATTGCGCTCGGAGTCGTCCGTGCCCATTTGTGTTTGCTGCAGGAAGGCTTGTTTACCCAGCAGCAGCTTTTCACTCCGTCCCTCCTTATTGCGTTCAGCTTCTGTGGGACAGAGGCTTACCTCGCGCCGGAGATGATTCTGCGGCTACCATACGGCTCGTCAGTGGATTTCTGGCAGTATGGGTGCTTCGTGTATGAGCTGTACGCCGGACGATCACCGTTCTGGCTGCCTCGCAAGCCTAGAAAGTTCATTCGGGAAAACATTCTGAATGGCGTCTTCGCTTACCCATCGGTTGTGCCGGAGGCAGCTAAGGACATCACCGGGGCCTTGCTGCAGGTACGTCTCCCTGTACTCTGGGTGAATGCATCATGAAGGCGTTAAGGTTTTGCCTTGGCTCCATTGCGAAATGCCGTATCATAGTCGGCACCTCTGACATGTGAGTAGGCCCATCCAGATGTACACTCTCGGGATACCGGCGGAATAGACGGCGCACCTGGCGCCCGAGGGTCAAATGTGGTGGATTGGCGAATGTTGTCAGACTAGACACGAAGACGCGGGGCAAAGAGTTGAACACGTAGAAGTACTATTTTTATCGCGCGTTTGCCCTCTTACAGAAGTACTGAAGTACAAGCAAAGCGTAAGGAAGGTCGCGAGACAACATGGTGACGTCGTTAGATGGGACCGCTTTTGGACATTGTGGTACACCAGGTGACGGAGGCCCGACGACTTGGATGTGGGAAGGACTTCGCAGCTTGGGACGATGTGAAAAGGAATGGGTTCTTCGCAAATACGGACTGGGAAGCGTTGGCCCTCAAGAAGACCACACCGCCAGTCTTGCCAGCAGATCCGGGAAAGGACATGGTGAACAACTTCGACGACGACTTCACCAAGTAAGACAACTCGAGAGTCCCAAGATTTTACAACTCGCGGACAAATAGGTTGATTGCATGCGTCGATTCGGGAAGTTGAGAGCTAGGATGTGGATGGATCTGTTACGCACTTGCTTACATGCATCTTCGCTCCCGCCCGACAGCCAAGCGGTGTTCTGGGGCAACGACGTGGACGCAAACGGAGCAAGCCCAGTGTTCTACGAAGGAGAATTGGAAGGGTTTTCGTTCATCAGGTGGGCTGTCAAACGTCGTTCCTGAAACATGGAAGATCGGTGCACAGGTATTCTATTTCTAAATAGCAACCGGGCTCCCAACGGATCCATGACCACAACCGTATCCTTGTGGTGAAACACCTTCCGGCTTGTCCTATGCATGCTACCTTGTCTGTAATTTCGGCAGGAACAACTTCAACGAGGTCGAGGGGAACGAGGACAAGCAGCTTGCATAGTTAAAAGCCAGCCCGGTACCGGTAAAATATAACGACGTCGCCTACGAAGACGCTCTTATAGCCACTTCCCTGCTGTCGGCACTGTCCTTGGATGGTTGCGTATTGGGAAAGTGCCTGCGCCTAAATGAGAGACCTCGGCGCTCGGCAATCACGATCTGAAACCGAGGTTGGACCATCCCATTGAACAGGCGAAACAGCGAGATGACGGAGTGTCGACGAAGTCAGCCCATGGTGTGTATTTCTTTCTCCGTATGCATTGCACTAGTGCCGGAACCATGAGCAGTTGGTTTACCGTTGGGACGGGAAGGTCCACCTCAGCGACATTTCGGAGCGTCAAGCGTGATGCATGTTTTGCTTAAGCGAAAGCATTGATATTGCTTTAGTTCGTAGAGACGTGATATAAGTTGTGTTCTAATACGTCAACATGAGCGTTGGCTGTTGCTGGTTTGCGCCACGGCCGGGGTCGCCCGCGCATTGAATGACCAAAGGGGAGGCGGGTGTGTGCATGCGCTGGATAGTGTAGGGTGTTGATGCAGCTGCTTTAGTGTTTTGTCATTCTTCCCTGAAACAAATAAAAAGAGCGCGAGTGGTATGGATACACTCCTTGGTGGAAAGATTCTTCATTTGTCGGTGTGGTTCCCCTCTGGTGCTTGTTGTCCGCCAGGACAAGGAAGCTTCCCTGTGCGTGTTTTCATGTTCTTGCAACATATGCCATAGTATGCATAGGGACGTACACCCCCGGCGCCTAGCGCTCCGACGCATAGCAGTACTTGCTTAATTCGAAATAACGAAAACTACGGTGATGGTCTCCGCGGCCTCTCGCATTGTTTTCCGACTCCTACTATCTGCCTCCGCCCGCAGCCGGCGGCGTAGCTGCCCCCCCTTGATCCGGCGCGCTGAACATGAAGAGTAGTACGCAAGGCAGAAAAATGTACCACTGCAAAGGAGCAAGGGAAATAGAAGCGGACATCCAGCAATGATTAATTGAAAGCACGGCCTACAGGAGTGTCCAAGGAAACCTTTCATTTCACCTGATGTACCTCTCAGCGTAAGGTTTCCCAGGTTCCTCGGAATAGTTACACAGTTACGCGCATAATACTCAACCCAAGCGGTGGGGAGACGGAAAGGAGTTCACATATCAGTTGAAAGGCTTCGCCTACAGCAAGCAAGTTCTTACGGATGCCTCAACAAGTAGTTTTCTTCGATGGAGGTACCCATTGTATGCACTTACGTATTTTACCAGGAGACTCTGGTTACCGGCAGCCTTCGCATCTTTCGTTCCAATCTGTTCTTTCAATGCTGACAGTCCAGGAGGAGGGCTATTCTGCAGCACTTGCAGAGGGACACTGGCAGCGTGGAACGCACGCGAGGACGTTTGTGTGTTGGTAAAAGTAGAACCGGCATATGCTTGCCGCTGGCGGCAAATATCTACTATTTCCTTCAGTGCAAAAATCCTACAGGTTCAGCGCGGAGGGCGATGCTGTAGCTGAGACCACAAAACAACCCTTCCGCCGTGGGTTTGGACCTTTTGCGAACAGTCCGGTACAAGTGGCCCCAATGTACGTGACGAAATTAGAATTTAGCTAGGCATTAATGAAGCTAGCTCTTTTGGGCTTTTACCGAAAACACTCACCTTTGAGCACTAGCGGCTCTGACAACCACGACCTTGGTCACAACTTCCGAATACTCCGCCACCTTGCGATTCACCATGCATGGGGGCGTGTTGTACCGTGTGTCACGTGCTGAATGAAGGTTGAATGTTCCACGGGGGACAAACAGCACGCGCCGTACGGTTTGGTCGTGCGTAACCACAACATCCCAACCAAAACGGCCCTACCAGGAATATATATTTAGCCACTGTATGGGGCATGGGCTACTTTTGCCGTAGCATATACTTGTATTACTCCTTGCCTCCATCCGAGAGAATAACCCCGGGTGATATATCTCTGGGGGGCTCAGAGCTATTTACACGGGAGTCTTTCTACGGAGCGAACGGCTTGTTTGCAGCAGGGGGGCGTAAGTCGAGGGGAACACCGGAGGCAGGCTAAAATAGAGGGTTAATTCTATCGAGGACAGCACAATCTTGTCGGCACGTTCTCACCGGCATTTTCGTGCAGTTCCGGGTGCTAGCGAGAGGCCCAACCAGAGATTTGTAGTCAACCCTGGTGTGTACAAAATACGTGAGGGGAGAAACCGTGCTGATATCGAAGTATTCAAGATGGCACTGTTGCAGTGAAGCGAACTAGCTTTTACCGATGCAAGAACGAGAATGAACAACCGCAACAAGGCGATGGCGAGGATTGTAAGATCAAAACAGGACCAGAATACCGTAATAGCGAAGCAACAAGCAGCCCTTGCCAATCAAGGAAATAAACTATTTGAAGCAAGACCAGCACCTACTACACGTGGCATCACTCAACCCTAACCAGCGTGCAAACAGCAGAGGCGAGAGCTTCCTGACATCTGACATGAAGCACACAGCATTGGAAATTGATTGATCGCTGGTCTACGCTTCTTGAATGCGTGTGCAGACTGAGCTTATCTATCCGTGTACACATAAACGAACCAATCTTACCCCACTATTACTCCATCCCGCTCGACGTGCAGTGTAATTTCCTCTCTGAAGGACGCCAGTCGAAGTTGGCACTGGTGGCAGAAGACGGTCGACCGGAAGAGAAATGAAGCAGCGTTGCAGGTCATTTTCAGGAACCGGGACCGCAGCAGATGAATGGCCGGACAAGCAGGGATCTCAAGCAGCTACGTAAAATCGTCTTATTCGTTCAAGCCGAACAACATGTCCAACAACGGTTGTTCGTGCGCCCCTACACGAGGGACTCTCATGCACCACACGTATCTTAGGCTAGTGGCAGCTACTCACTCTGCACGTGCTCGCTGCCATACTCACCGCGGATACCGCTGCCACCACGTGCTGATTAGATGATTCATCAGTGGCCACTCTGATGAGGTAAAGTCCATCATTCGCGATCAGTTCCTGCGTAAATGTGACGGTGGCAGACGTAACTTCCACACCATGTATGCATAACATAATCCTCTTTTATCTAATCCAGAGTTCTGGATAGCGCAGGAATTCTTATCTTTTCGGTTTCGTTCTATGCTTCTGTATGGTTCGGGATCCAGACACTACCCTCTCATGCTCTTGCAAATCAGATTGTATCGGCGAGGTTGCGGTGCAACGGGCACGTTCTTGCCCTCACACTCAGCTCTCATGCGCGCGCAAGTCCACCTTTAGTCCCCACAATATCTGCTTCGCCTTGTAATTTTGCTGGAATATCGCTCCAATGACACGACTGAGAGGGTTCGACTATTTTGCACCGCCCTCAGCACTGCCCCACTGCTGCAAAATCGGGATAGGGGAGAAATGACGATAACATGGAAACCCCGGGGACGAGATTGACTTATCCCCGTAAACGTCTACTTCTTATAAACATCCATCCCAAAGCTCGATTCAACTCGCACGGTCGTTTGTGTTCACAAACTGCTGAAAATAGGTGTAGGGCTGCGTGTGTGTAGAGCTTAGGACCACGTACAAACAGCGTACCATATCATGTAAAAAAGAGTTGGCGAACATGTAGGAGAGGTGCAGTGGGTGCGCTGGTAGCAACTTTCAGAGGCAGGCGACATGTCCTATTGAAAAACAGGAGGTGAAGTACCGTTGCTGAGAACATGAACCAAAAAGAGTTTTTTCGGTGGTCTTACCTCCATTTGAGATGCATCCCGCAGCGTGGCCGGCTGGAGTGAAGCAGAAAATGCCTTGGCTCTCGAGGGATCGATGTCAAGTTCCAAGAACCCTCGGTGCGTCCACTTGTAAGTGCAAATTTCGGAATGGGGTCGAAAAAGCAAGATGCGGAGAAAATAATGTATTAATTCGCCATTCGCGAACGGCTCCGCCCGATCAGTACACCGATAGCTACAGAACAAATAGAAACCCAACCGAACACTGGTATAGGGGCATTCTTCTGTGCGACCCCGCATTGAGGGTCTTTTGTGAGAAGAGAGTGCAGACCGTACAGCAGTAGGGGCAACTGCGAGCGACGGTGCCTGAATGACAATGGAACCGAGCATACCGCGGCTGTTACGTAACCACGCCCACAACACCAACACCATGGGCCTCTCGCTTGTGTTATGGTCTTAGACAGATACACCCGTGCTACAGCAGTCGACCGGAACCGCATACCTGGAGCCCGTATTTTCTTTTCTGGATTTACACTACATGGGGGCGCTTCTTTGCTTGAAGATTTCTTCGGGAGAAGTGGAGACTTCGCGTCTTTTTATGTAGCAACTTCTTGTTTTTGGGCAGCTTGAGATAAACGGAAATTCGATTCTATACCTTGAAGAGTATACATTTTGTAACTATTTAATTAAATTTGGGAGAGGAGCTACTGGATGTTTATTCATACTAATCTTGGTTTTTGGGTGGTTTCGAAACGACCGAACTAGCACCCAGCGATCAGAAAAGAGACGCATGAGACCAGATGGGAAGCGTTGCGCAGGAAAAAACCTCTTACTTGCAGCACAGAGCAGCGGCGATCTGTCTCTCCATACCAGGCAGTCTCCTCCACATCAAAACACGTTCTCAACCAAGCTCAAATTTCTCAATACACTGATGAAGACAGACGGCACGGCGGGTTGCCACAAGAGGTTCTTTGCGATTAAAAAGTGTTAACTGTTTGATGAAAATCCGTAGAGAGGGCACGATGGAGCAGCGACATGCACGTTGGCACGTCCAGATCTGATGCTGCAGCCGTGGTGTCGAAGGTTGCAGCTGCGGTCCGAAAACTCCGCAAATCTGGGTCCGAACCGTTCATCTTCCACTGCTGTGGGCGTCGTCACACAGCAGTCTCCTGAACTGCTGTGGGTTTACAGAAATAGCTCGGCCAAATGGTAGATGAGTATGACGATTTTTTCCGCGTCCAAACCAACATCCACTACAGTAGTTGCACTTTACTGGGTTACTGCTGCTCGCCAATGTTCCTCCCTTGATGGTTTTATACAGCAGTCCAGAAGGAGTGAACAAATCCTGGCCAAACGGTGTACTGCTGTCTGATAGAACCCGACCTACCTCGGCCGCCGGTCCGAACGCATGCTCCACGCTAAGGCTTCGCGCACTGGCTTGTACACACCAGGCAAACGCAACGCTGGTGGCCGTTTTCAGTGACTTCATGTTAACTCTCCCTAGCACGTGTCGCTTAGATGGCTGCTTTTCTTGCCTGGCGTTTTGGCTTCTGATTCTGCTATGTATCAAAGACAACACAGCGAGACACAAGACAGAAGCACGGAGGGAACCAAACAGAACCAGGTGCGGCGCAATACAAAACCCCGGAAAAAGGCGGCGCAATCGTCGTCACAAGACACAAGACGACACCCCCATACCCGACGCTGGACGATTTAACCTCGACCTAATTTCACCTTTGCTGCGGATGGACCGAGGATAGGGGATAGAGGGTGGAGGGGGAAGGAGGAGTGAAAATGTACATGCCAGATGTATACGAAGGAAGTACCTGTGGGCGCAATGCGATAGATTTTGTTGCTGCGTGTGCGGGAGCGTTCGCACCGGACTTGGCACCCGCGATGTCAACCTTTTTTGGAAACAGCTCGAAGAGCACCAGAAAAATGCACACGAGACACACAAGACCAGTCGGAAGGCATCGGGAAAAACAGGAATATTCGATTCTCGCACACGGCGACAGCCGGCACAATTCCGCAAAAAAGCAATAAAGAATCTTGTCCGAAATTTCGATACTTTAATCAAGTGCAAACACTGATCGGAATCCACACTCAACTCAAGTAACTTGTGTGAAGGAAATCCATAGATTAATCAAGTGAAAAAACTGATCGGAATCCATACTCAACTCAAGTAACTTGTCACAAAAAGTCGATACTCAACTCAAGTAACTTGTCACAAAAAGTCGATACTCAACTCAAGTAACTTGGGTCACAAAAAGTCGATACTCAACTCAAGGAACTTGTGTAGTAATGGAAATCAACGCTCAAGTAACTTATGTCACAAAAAGTCAATACTCAATCAAGTGATTGTACCAACCCAACCCAACCCAACCCAACCCAACCCAACCTAACCAAACTTAACCAAACCAAACCAAAACTGCTGTGTGCCAGCACCTACCTGTGTGCCAGTACGCATGCAAACCCAACCCCAACCCAACCCCAACCCAACCCAATCAAACCTAACCAAACCTAAGACCCCGATTTATGGGAACAAAAACTTGTCGATAAATCTTGATCTTGGCCAAGATCTGCCAGTTTCACGATTTATGGGAGCGATATCTTCCGATGTATCTTGGCCAAGGTTTCTCGAGGCCCGAAATCTGCCGTTTGGAACAAATCTTGACCCAAGATCTGTCGAAACGAGCCTTCCGACAAATCTTGAGGCGGTGTAACAAATCTTGCCTGGGTGCGGCGCGATCACCGAAGGTCAGTCAACCTAATCGTCCATAACGCCATGAAATCTGCACGTGGCACACTCCCAAGGGTCTCTAATGCACCCTGGCGTCACTGTGTCGGCACCACGGGCGCCGACAGCGAACGAAAACGACCAAGGCGGTCGAAAAAAATGCGTATTTGCCCTGGCTCGTTCCACGTGCGTCATCACCAGTCTGTCGAGGGACCGTTCAAAGAGTTACTTTATTTTGAAGTAGAAAAATAGAGCAGGAGGAACGTTTTGCCAACACTGCTCTGTCGTGTGCGACGCTTCTATCTCTTCATCGAATCACCCCACGCCCAACCCGTTTGCAAGCGAGCCAAATCCGTGGGTGCAGATGACAGCGCCGGAGGTTTGACCTCGGTATGCCTGCTACATAGTAGGATACGTGCATGGGTGTCATCGGCCTCGGGTTGATGCACTTTCTTGTCAGTTGGACAGCAATGGAACAATTTTGTTTCTCCGCTTGACATGAGGTCGTGGGCAACGGCTTCTATTTTGCACCCCAGGTAGGCGCCCATCGCTAGTATCCACCCACAGTGTTGAGGCAATACAGCTGGGGGAGGGATTCCCCTTCTACAACTGCGTCATGCTCACTTTTCGCCACACCTCGGAATTTTCTGTGGACCAAGTGGCCGTTGTGCCTTTATCAACTTCAAGCAGAAGAGGGGAACAACACGCCGCTTTTTTAACATTCAAGATATTTCCCCCATAAATCGCGATACTGCGAATCTTCGCGGAGATATATTGTGAGCAAATCTTGGGTCAAAATGCCAAGATAAACTTGCAAGATTCTGTTTCCGTAAAGAAGGGTCTAACCAAACCAAACTAAAAAAAGCTGTGTGCCAGCACGCATGCATGCCCCTTTCTGGAGGAGGCACGCAACACCTGGCACATCGCATACATACACGCGCTGCTGTGCACCACGCCGCCCACCTGCAGCGCGGGTGACACACACGTGACACAACGACGGACGGCGTTCGAATCAGCTGTGTGCGTCTTGCACATAGCATACACATTCACATATCTCTCTACTGCTGCTGTGTGTACTTTGCGATCCCTGCGCCCGATGCGCATGACTCTGTGGTGCATCTCCCACATCAGATGCGGTGTCCTACCAGACTGCTGTGTGCCAGCAAGCGCCTGTGGCACGCATACACGCACTGCTGTCACATGTCGCATAACTTTTCAAAAGATAGAACAGAATAGGGTTGCTTGCTTACGATTCCTGGAGAACCATACTTAGACTTAACTACAATTATGTCGGAGGCCTGAGACGCAAGAGTTCAACCATTGTTGCACTCTAAAAGCAAGACGTTTTTTTTCGGTGCATCAGTTCGCGGTCGCCTTGACACTTGTTTTTCGCCCGCTGTTGCCCGCTGCAGCGGGCCAGTCTCTGGATCACAGCGCCTCTGTCGTGAGCTCGAAACTCTAAAGGCGAGTAGAGTTACAGCACGTGCACGTAACCACTATTTCAGGCATTGAGCTAGACGTTACGGTGCGGTAAATCGGTTTTAATTGTTTTTAGGGAAATCGACAAAAGTGGGTATTCCCACGCCATTCTCGGACAAAAGTAGGTACTCGAAAATCCGGCGCGCGCGCCCTCCATAGGCGACCCCCAAACGACTCAAAACTCCATTCTGACACCTGGGCGACACAGCCAGGGACCATACGCAGCACAGGCATCGATTTTTTCCCACTTTCAGCCACACCGAGGCGCGCAAGGCCTCACCAGAGTGCCCACTTCTGTCCGACATCGCGGTGGGTATACCCAGCGGCGTCAACTCACTTTTGTCCAAATTGTACCCACTTTTGTCCACTTGCGGACAGCCGAAATCGAGCGGAAATCAACCTCCACGTCACCGCACGGCAGAACATCGAATAGCCTCGGAACGTCTCAGAATATCCCAACACCGTATCCATGGCATATTTCCTATTCATGGCTGCCGACTGCGGACCGAGACCTCCTTGTTGGTTTTGCCTTGAATATATCCACGAAATATTTATTTGTCCTCAAATTTGAGAGTGAGGTTCAACAATGTGCCCGTACCCGAAAAAAAAAAACTGAGGGAACGTGTGGACTCCAGATCGGTTTTGAAGGGTCGTCGGAGTGGGATCCCCGAGAGTCGGTTCCACGTATCTGAATGTCAACATATATACTTTTTCCTTCCGCTCCGGGATAGTTCAATGAAGCTTTCCAGAACGTTTTGTGGGATATCTTGTAAAGCTGGCGCAACACTGGGCTGTGTAGTGTAAAAGGGGCCCCACGGATACGATTATTTACTAAAATCAAGTAGAAAATTGGGACAGGAAATACTTCATGGCACAAAAGCTGAAAACCTCACGCTGTTTTTAGGAGTTAGTCTTCGAAACTTTGTACACATGTACAGTGGATACGAGGCGTCCCTGCGGAGTGGGGTAAATAGAGCGCACCGCGGCAGGGGGTGACGCAAGAACATGCACAGAACATAGATAATATATTGTAGACGGACGTACTGCTGCTGTAGTGTAACCAAGTGTAACACATTTTTCGTTCCTTCCGCACTCCGCAACATACGGAAACGAACTCACGTCCGCAGCGACCCGGGTGCAGAACTATTTGTCGTCACTATTTGTTCTACAGTACGCTCATACAAGGTCCCAAATCCCTGCAGCTGTGCTGCGGGTCGTGCGTGCTCGTCAGCTACTTCTATGTACTACAGCGTTTATTTCCTTGTGTCTCACGAAGGGTGAGAGCCAGGGAGGAGGTGTAACAATGCAATGTGAGCAGCGAAGACCCGAGCAGCACAACAAAACAGCAGCAGCAGCACAGCGGCACAAACACGTAGGAGGAGGAGTCGATGACAGTAGAAAAAGAGAAAACCAACAACCAGGCGGTGGGTGTTGTTCTGAGTTGAAGAGAGGGCATATGGGACCGACAGACAGACAGATAACCTCTGCACCATCAATCATCAGGATTCAAGCCACAACATCGTCCCATTTCCCACTTGTTAGATTGCCACAGTACTTGAATGGCAAACCCGCTTTACTCAGCGGTTCAGACTTTTCTCGCGGGCGTGTTCTTGTTCCTCCAACTTGCAGCAAGCGCATCCGCAACCACGGAGTACCGACGTGCGTTTTCGAAGCTGCTGTATTCGGGTACCTGTGACCAAGCAACGTGTGCTTCACTGTTCTACCCGCTGCGGCTGTGCTGGAAAGAATGTAACTCTGCTTCACAGAACATGAAAGACGCTCCAAGTCGAACCGCCGCCTGGAAACAGAAGGGAAAAGAACACTCGAACAGACTCCATGCTAACGACTAGCCAATAAAAATGTAAGCTGTTCATACATGCGAAACACTGTGAGGAGCCGTCTTCTTTTTTTACTTCCATGGTCGCCGGTTATTCGGGGCCCCAGCAGCCGCACACGACCCCGACACCCCTAGGACCCCGGACATCCGGCGACAGGGGAAAAAAACGACAAAGACGGCTCCATACAGCGTTTCGTATCTACCCACCGAACACGGCGATATCGCGAGAGGGATAACATTAATGATAATAGGTTGGTAGCCATCCGTTCAGGTTCAAGACAGGTATGGGTGAAAGCGGTGGTATGACATCCTACAAACACTGGGGGAGGTAATTATGCGTCAGCAGCCTTCGTAAAATCTAGGATAAGACGGCTCACGATGGACACCATATTATGAGCGAGAGAACCCAGGGATTGTTATCGGCAGCAAATCCTTC